TTACCTGTCCAGGTGAACCTGCCTTCACCCTGAGTCAGCTGGGATAGGCTCCGCCCCCCTAGTGAGGATTAAGGTGTAGAGATGATGGATGGATGGTTGTGGACATAGTTTCCTTCTTTTTAACTGCATTTAAATTTAAAACAGACCTTTTTAGGTTCCATCCCAGCAAAAATGGATTTAATGTCGAGCATCACATTTATCTGTGTATTATTATTATTATTATTTTCTTCATTTATTTATTTAATTGGTTTATTTTTTATTAACATTTTATCTCAGACCTCTCCATTCCTGTTTAGTGATAAATACATTTAGCATTGCGTACTTCTAATTAGTGCCTTTTTGTTTGTTTGACCGTTCCTGTGTGTTCTCCAACAGGCCCTCCATTTATCGTATCACCACCGGAGAACATTACAGTGAACATCTCGCAGGACGCCTTCTTCACCTGCCAGGCGGAGGCCTACCCCCGCAACCTGACCTACACCTGGTTCTGGGAGGAGGACAACGTCTTCTTCAAGAAGTAAAGTTATGATCGGGTTCTTTATGTCTGCCACCTCGCTGTCCTTCTCTTTCTCCATCTTCAGCCTGAGTCAGGAGTCCTGTTCTGTTTTTGTGCTAAACCTTCAGCAGAAGCAAAAACATCTTTATTTAATTAGACAAAAGGTTCATTAAGGCTTAAACTGCTGAATTAAATAAAAAAGTATTAGTAGCTGCAGTGTAAATGCAACCAAAGTAATTTGACTTTATGATGGTGTTTAGTGTTAAAAACAATATCCTCATCGTCTGGATTTGAATTACATGTGACATAGTTATGTGTAATTGATAATTAACTTCTGGGACTCATTAAGCGGTTCTGACTCTGGTGCTGGTTTCTTTCATATCCTGAGCTGTGAGAATGATGTGCTGCAGAGGTGCTGAATGAAAACAGAGGAACCGAAGAATCAGCAGCAGAACATCCTGAAAGCTCAACAGCACTGAAACTACATCACTCAGAGCTTCACTGATGTAAAGCTCCCATGTTTTATACATTTCTGCTGGTTCATGTGACACTTTGGTCATCAGAACCGAACATATCTGTGGTTTTAAAAGCCAAACACCATGTTGGTTTACAGCTCCTCTGTCCCTATAGAGCTCTATCAGAGCATTCTGTGTGTCTCATTAACGTTAATGAGCTTCCACTTTGATTAACTGACTGTTTTCTGAGTGACGCGTGACCAGACCACCCATGGCCCGCAGGCTGTGGTCTGTGGTGGCTCGGTACCGCTCACCTATAGCTGCAAATGGTGACTGAAGATGCTCTGATCCAGTATGATGAACCCAGAGTCAGCACAAGACGACCTGCTGCCCCCTGAACAGTCTGCTTCTGCCTTTGTGAAGAAATCATCTGCGTCAGTCTGTAAAATGTGTTTTGTTGTGCAAGACAAAAGTCCCAGACTCTGTCTGAACCACTGAACAGCAACAGGTCTGCTGCTGCTTGGGTCAAAAACACATCAAGAGCTGTGTATAGAGACATTTATGTCCAGGCCAGGTGACCAAGAACAGGTTAAAGGTGACCAATAGACCGAACACAGAGCAGGAACAGAAAGCAGGAAACACATTCAGCTTCTCTCAGCAGCTCAGAGGACAGCTCTGGACCTGTACCAGGACTGAACAGGTTCACAGTCTGAATGAAGCTGGTGTTTCTAAAAGACAATCAAACTTTAAAACACTGAACAGACACCTTTCAGCTTGTTTGGGAAATTTTTCACAGGTTTGTCCATAACAATCATTTTAACTGAGGCAGAGGAAGCTGAAATCCCATCCAGGCCCAGCAGTAATCAGACCAGAACTCCTCGCTTCAGCTTTATCGATGCCAACTAGATGAATAGATGAATAAGTACCAGACTGCTTAGCAGTCTAGTGTCCTGTCATCCTGCTTGTTCTTGACAGCCGTTCTAAAGGAGGCAGCAGAATTCTTCAGTAATGATGACACTGATGAGAATTTATTTAGGGATTCGCTGTGAGAGGCGGCGAGCTCGCCTTGTGCTGGCGATGGTAATTAATCAAGGCTCTAACAGCAACAGAAGTTCTAAAGTTCACCAGCCTGTGAGAAAACACTCGTCTGAAAATCTGCACATCATCACGTTCTCCACGTCCTCTACCAGCCGGACATCGCTCCAGGAACAGCCTCGTCATGTCTGAACGACAAGAAGACCTGAACAGCTTGGAGTCAGCAAAGCATCTGATGTCCAAATGCAGCTGAACANCTGACAAGCCTTCGTCGATGAGAGGGAACCGACCAGATCTCCACCTCATACGTCCGACACACTGCCAGCTGCTGGGCATACTGGCTTCATGCACAGTGAATGCTGGAATAAAAAGATTTGCCCCAAACACAGGACGGAGGCAAGTTCACTGAATAATGAATGTATAGAAGCTGGTAGATGGACTGAGACATGAAGCTCACTGACAACCAGGAGAGCTGGATGATGGGATGTTGTCCTGATCACATGTCAGTGATGGAGCTCCATGGATGCCAGTAGTTGTTGGTCACTCTGGTCCAGACTGAGCGATCTACTGCATGGTGCTCCCCAGAGGATGGATCCTGCTGACTTTGGTGAACCTTTGACTTCACAGCTGCTGCCATGAAACTTAGTACTTTCCATTGAAAGCAGAGTATTGTTTGTCTGTTATTACCTGATAACACTCAGTCAGGTTCCCATAAGCCTCAGACATACGAACATTTAACACTCTGCTCCACCTCCAAACCCTGAATCTGTTTTATAATCAAGAGCAAGAAGCAGATCGCTGTGTGCTGATCAGAGTTCCCCTCTGCTCATTGATTAAACCCCTAAAAACTCATTTCCATGTACCAGAGTAGTTTCTTCCTGGAGAATGATCCCTTCCTGCCCTGAAATAGCTTCGACGGTAACGTTTCCTCTGTGAAGTCTCCACTGTGGCTCCATATCTACCTGCTGCAGCTTCACCAGCTCTGAGCTTCAAGGTGGACACACTGAGCCATGGAGCCGACACTTCCTTCACTCTGGATGTGTCTTCTAGCAGATAGAGAACAGCACACCAGCATCTTATCAAGGTGAAACAAAAGGATTTTCATCAGAGTGTGCAGATGGATTTTACATTCACTGCCCTCACTCCAGTAGGGCCTGAATCTCCTCTGAACCTGCGCTGAGCGCACACCGTGGACAAACCGTCACGAATACCGTGGAAAAGAAAAAGAGTGGTTAACGCACAAGAGCTTGGTGTGAGCCGTTTATCCAATCACTGCTTGAATAGAGATGTTTGTGCGGCGCTTGTTGTCAGACGCTTTCATTCACTATCGAGCAGACAGCGGACGTGTTCACACAGATCACATATTCCCCTTTGCGACGGAGCACAAAGCCAGCGCTGAGCCAGAGTGCTCGTCTGACCCGTCCTGTATAATTTACGGGAGAGACGGATTAATAGAGGCCCTCCTGGAAAGCCACTGAGCAGCAGATCAGCTCAGAGACTACGGTGCCAACAAATCTCCAGCACTCAGCTGGTTCCAAATAGGGCGGGTTGGCACTCACTCACACACACACACACACACACACACACACCAACACCAACCAACAACACAGTCATTCAGCACAGGCCTGGTCCTGGTTGTCCTGCTAAGGGGCTGGCAGATGGAAACGCTCTGCCTGTTAAAGGATCAGGCCGTGGGCTACGGATCACCACCAACATATGGGACCAGCAGTTTACAGTCGCAACACAGGCTCAGCTCAGCTCTGTGTGAGTGTGTGTGAGAGTTAGAGTGTGTGTGTGTGTGTGTGTGTGAGAGAGTTAGAGTGTGTGTGTGCACATGTGTGTTTGTCCTTGTGTGAACTGAAGTTGTTAACAAATAGGAAATTCAAGGATAATTGTGTGTGTGTGTGTGTGTGTGTGTGTGTACAGCACATCCATCATCAGGAGGAAGAGTCTTGGAGGTTGCTATGTTGCTATGAGCAGCCTCTGACAGGAGCTGCTGGTGTTTGTATGAACATCCAGAGTTCAGTTTTTGGGTTTTCCAGCGACCAGCTGCTGACAAACTGTTTTTCTTGTTCTTCAGTCCTTGCAGCCATCCTAACTGTATATAAAGAATAAACTACAGCCTCCAGGACCACATAGGTTATGGTCCTGAATGTATTTCATGTTCACACATGACTTCCTGTTTTTTCATTAAATAACACATAAACCCAGCTGGAATTTCAAACTGAGGAAAATTACAGTATTTTGCAAATTAAGCTTTAATGTCACCATAAATAATCCAGAAAGATTTTTTCTGTTGAAATAAAATCAGATTGTGTTTGAATTTTATGAAGGATTTTTCTTGCTTTGATGAGCTGTGCTCTTGGTTTGCTCGCTAGAAGTTTACCTTTAATATGAACTGATGAAATAAAAACAACCCTGCACACAGTCTCTGGTATCGTCATGGAAACAGGATCTGTTTTTATAGCGTTAAGGTACCTGACAGACCTGCCCACAGCCTCTAGGGTCCAATCAGGACGCTCCGGCTTCCATCCTGGGGAGCTGTCAGATGAAGTAAATGGTTTAAATAAATAGTGAAAGTAAAATAAAAAAATAGACTTCATGCAAAATAAATGTTGTCAAGAAGGTCTCCGGTTGACGTCCCGGTGAGGACAATGGGTCGTTCCTGCTCTGAAGGACCTTCGACCTCCTTCAGTCCAGCAGCAGGTCAGTGCTTCCTCTCAGCTGAAGCACAAATTCACACAAGCAGCCTCCAATCAGTGCATTGATTTGTTCATTTGCCACAAACTGCTCCTGTTAAGGTTCCAGCTCACTGCTCGCTGTAACGGGCCAACAGCATCATCTGGATGGAGTGTTCATGATGTTTGGCCTCGTCTGAGCTCAACAGAGTGCTTTGAAGGCCACCGATCACCTCATGATCAAATCTAACCAATGCATACCTGCTCATGAACAAATGACAAGTTCATGCTGGTCCTGAGGGAACCACGTTGTGCCTCCATCATCAGTCCACTAGAAGATCTGTTCAGCAGTCACTGCTCCTCCAGCAGGAGAGTCTCACTGACGTTTGCTTCACAGACTTTTAAACTTTTCCTCTTTGCCTGAAACCTCGACTTTCTGATATTTCACCAACATCCACAATGAGAAGGTCTTTGTCCTAAATGTTCAGATGAGGTCTGCCCAGTCTTTCTGAGGCCTGTGCAGAACATCCTGTTCTGGGTGATGCGACCACATACGCTCACACACTGAAGGACTGAGTGGCGCTCTCTGATAACGCCGTCCACCTCGTGTGTGCTAAGTAGCTTAAAAGCAGGGAAGGTAGATTTCAGACCAAACTCAGCACGGTTGTAGATGTGATGACGGTCAAAGGGAGGAAATATTGCAAGTCACGGTATAAATATATCCATGCGTGGAAGGAGGATGATCCATTTGGCACAGCGAATTCTCATAATCCCTTACTGAGTGCAAAATAAGTATGTGATACGGCTCTAAGGTCTGCCATGACATTAAAAGAACCCAGAGTGGACGTAGTGC